GTCATTCATTTGAACAAACTTGGTAGCCCTTCACCCAAGCATGCTACTGGCCAAATATCATCTCCCTGGGCAGTTTGGTTATCGAGAAGAAGATGTTTAAAGTTTTTAACATATTTGACCCCTGTGACCTTGAAAATAGGTGAAGGTCATTAATTTTAACAAACTTTGTAGCTCTTCATCCCAGTTTGCTTCTGACCAAATATCGACACCCTAGGCCTTTCGGTTATTAAGAAGAAGTCGTTTAAAGTAAAATATTGACACCAGACGACGGACGGACGGACGACGGAAGCCACGCCACGGCATAAGCTCACTTGGCACTTCGTGCCAGGTGAGCTAAAAATGACATATATAGCAAATCAGAATAAATCTTGATCCAAAATAGCTGACTATATCCTAAATTTACTCTCTATTTTTATGGTGGGCAGGCTAAAAAGAGATAGTCAATTATTTTTTATTAAACAAATATGTAGATTGTTAGTACATTGTAACAAAACTATCTCCAAAATCACAACTACTAACTGCATCGATCACCAAATTAACTTCATCACAATGCAAGGTTATGTATACTACATAGTGGCATTCCTACCTAATATTATTACATCACAAATGGATTGCAATTGCAACCATGGGTTGGATGGAGGGGGTGGGCAATTGGTTTGGGGCTTAATTAACTTAGGCATTTTGAGCAGACCAAGAGCAATCCCTCCCTCCCTTTTAAACCAGAAATTTTCCTAAGGTGCATTGCAGCACATGAGTGTATAATGGCAATAGAAATTTAAAAAATGCACCCTTCCAAAAAATAAAGTACAAATCTTCTGCCATTCTATCTTGGGTTGTAATGCTGTTCTTGACCTGTTTGTCTCCCTTTGCATCACTTCACGTAAACCTATTGACTGACCGTGTGAGGAGGACAGTCGGTTCTGTCCCCAGGTAGGGGACACGCAAAAGTCCTTCGAAATGATTGTTTTACTATATTGTTGTTACCTGCTCAATGTTTCAGCCTTTAGGATAAACGCAAAGGCTTAGTTGACCCATATTGTCGGTATAATGTGACCAGCTGGAATAGTGTGTAGGGTGGATTTGGTATTGTATAACAGTGAGGTATAGCACTCATAATTTGGCCTTATAATTAGATCTGCACTTTCACAAGAAAAAAAATATCAACATAATGCATGAAACAACACCTACACCTACATGTGCATTACACACATGGAGAGGCAGGTTCTTAAATTATCTTAGCTCAAGTTAGCTGTTTGAAAAACACTCAATCCTGTGGGCCGAACCAAACCAATCATGACCTACAGACATAAGACAGTGTCTCTAATATAACCACATCGCAAAGCAAATTTAAACATCTATAAGCTCAGATTATATTACCAATGTAGCTACATCACACTTGTGAACTGTGACTCGGACAGTTAGGAACCTGTACCTAGGTTGTTATTGTTATATCAACAGATGGGCCTTCATTGATCGTCTTAGTCATAAATCATTCTGATTCTGTGAATTTGTCGATGTGGCATTCATTGCTGTATTATGCACCTTGGTCATCTGTGTATATATTATATATTATACACACTAGACTGGTGATGCTAATACTTCACCTTTGTATGTTAGTTTCATTAATCACCTGGCTTAAATGTTTTAACAAACATATTTCAACATCCTCTATATATCTCCCTGAATTATTGTAAAACTTATATAAAACAACAATTTTCACTGGACAAATGACAGCAATATAAGATTTTATTGTTTGACAATGTGCGTCCTGAGACCAGTGTATTGTATACAAAATGTAGTTATGTACCTGTTTATCACAGAAAATACTTTATCATGATGAAGGTCAATACAAAAGTCATGTTACAAACAAATTACACAGAAATGTCATAATCATTTCATTCCTGGAAATCCTGCATTTTTGACAAGATTTGACTTGTAACACAGTTAGCTCTGGTTTATCACTGAAGTACAGGATAAGTACTGGCAGAGAGGGTATATAAGGAGGGTGTATGTACTGCCTTCCCTTTAATATTATAAACATTATCACACTTAATATTTGTTAGGTAAATAAAGTTGAGGAGTCCATTAATATTATTACAACAAAGTTTGGGTGTGTGAACTGAAGTGTCCCAATTACGTACCTTATAAGCGCCACTAGCGGTAACCTTTTTATCTGGTTTGTGATTGTTTTGAAATTTGACATGGTAATTTTTTGGTGATACACTGATATTTCGATGTTCAGCAGAGAGGTTCAAAAAAGTCAATGTCATGTCACTGTTACTAAAAATAAAATTGACGGGAGGCGGGGGGGGTGTCAGCCACATGGAGGTGCCCTTGCTGAACTGTCAGTGTTCAAGTAGAAGAGTTGATTAATGGCCGGCCCTTAATAATATGTATATTTTATGTACCAGGTATGTAAGAATTAACATCCTCTATCATGTCAAAGTGGTGTTAACTAATGACAAACAGATTTAACTGGTATCAATTACTATATACAGCAGTCAAAATGCACACATATTTACTGTTCAAACAGTACTTCATTCAAGGAGGAAAGATTGAATGTGCACATGTTAGGTAATGCTTGTAATTGTCATAATTTTCGCTTGTCTGGTCAAAAGTGCCAATGTCATGAGTTCATGCCATATCATGACATCTGTCAAACTTTTTATTTGTTTATGGTGTAAAGTCTGACATGTTGTAGATAGATAACCACTGTAGGTTGATGATGCCCGGTACGTGATACTGACCAGCTAGACGTTCTGTAATCATTCAGTAATGCGCGTAAACTTAACACTTAAACAAATTTCTCATTTTACAAAATGAGGTTTAATGTTGTTTTAAGTAGAGTATTTTGCAGATCTCAAATAAAAGGGAATAAGACATAATTTAATATGATAAATGTAGCATTTTTGAAAAACATTTATAATAATATACAACATTTGATATAGCGCCCTATCTAGCTAACATAAGCCACTCCAAAGCGCTTTACAGTACATATATATATACATTAAATATAATTATCATATACATTAATCAATACTTTTTTTGAGGAATTCGCAGGAGCTGCCTTATCAGGCGATATCAAACATTTGTGTAGTGTGTTAGGTGGTCTATACCGTCTATGTCAAGATGTTTCCAAGATAAGCCTTGGCCTGCTGACTTGTGTGAAACCTGATTTATAACTTAAGTAAATATTATACCCAATGATGCAGCTTTGCCACATCTAAATCTACAAAGAAAAATTGTAAAGAATACATATTGAAACTACTGTAATATTTCTGCAGGTTGGTAAGTATGGATTTTGAAAAGATTCTTGTTACACAACCAATAAGTGTTTCTATGTGACGTTTCAATGACTAGTACAGTACACCTTCATCAGACAAATGACTAGTGAAGCATAATGCACACAAAGGTGTAAAATGTGTACAAGAGAAAAGAAGCAATCTGGATGCGCTGCGGTGGGCCAGTTCTAAATCAAGATGAGGGGGCCCATAGACTCTGCACATCTATGACCAAGTATTAAAGAAAGCGTAGCTGAATCGAGTCATTTATGTACATATATAACAACTAATTGTACATACGCTTTTACAGCGTAGCCGAATCAACATCGATTTCTGGACAACTTGTACACATTTTACACCTTTGTGTACATAGCCTGTCATAGGCTTAACTGGTCATGTGTCTGATAAAGGTGACAGAGTACATACCGTACTAGTCATCAAAACGTCACATAGAAACACATTGGTTGTGTTGTAATATATTGTTGTGCTAGCTGAAGTTACAAATGTCTGCATTGTTTAGCAATACATCCCTGTCAATTCACTTGTACATTACGCCCGAGTTAATCTGCAGATAAAGATGTTGTAAAGGGCAATTGACCTCACAGATGTACATGTATGAAAGCTACAGGTAAATATGTAAAATTGTGTATGTGCACACTTATCTTACCTGTACTCAGTGGCCAGGTGAGTCTAGGTGACACAAAATCACCACACCCATAAGGACAAACACAGGGATCAATTACCTATAACATTTTACCAGTAAATGTATCTACCAATAGAGAATCTTTCGTAATCTTTTTCTTTTTTCCTTATATCTACATGTACTTCATTCAGGGATTTTATGTTTTGAATTGGATAGTGCTGACCAATTACAAAAATGAACAGATACATTAATTTATTTTTATACAAAACTTTTAGTATCTAGCTTCATATTTTTTTGTAAAATAAATCAGGTGTATACATGTATATACCTGTGGTTAAGATTTCAAAGAAAATAAATTTCACAAATTATTGAAACATTTTTAGCAGTACCGAGCTTATGCCATATCGTGGCATCCGTCATCCATCCGTATGTAAACAATTTCTTTCAACGACTTCTTCTTCTTAACCGCTGATTGGAATTTAACTAAATTTTACTGGAAGCATCCCTAGGTGGTGGGGATTTAAAATTGTACAAATGGTGGGGCTGACCACCCAGGGGGCTGAGGGGCGGGCCAAAAGGGGGCAATTTGGCTTTATTGCTATAAACGACTTCTTCTGCAGAACTATGCCATGGATATCAATAATATTTGGTCGGAAGCATTTGAACTAACCTTGTTGATGTTCTGCCCAATAACCTCTACATTTTACAAGCCTATAAAACAGCACATCCCTACCACAATCACAGGTATAGTAGGAATAAACAAATAACAATTAATATGTCCATCTTTATTCAAGGAGGCGCGGTAGTCTAGTGGTAGGACGCCGGGCTCGTGATCGAAGGGTTGTGGGTTCGAGTCACGGCACTGTGATGTATCTTTCAGCAAGATACTTTACTCCGCTTGTTCCAGTCTACTCAGCTGTAAATGAGTATGTTGTTGGGCCTTGCTAGAATTGTAGAATGCTAGCTGTGAGTGCCGAAATGGCAGTTAACCGCTTTGAGACGACCTACGCACTATTTCATTTATTTGAAAGAAGTTGCTTTTCAAAATCTGTCTGAAAGTACTAAATATTGACTCTGATTGACTTACGATCTAGTGTTAAATGCCACAATTTAAGATTGTCTATGCAATGAATTAATTAAATCCATTTCTGCAAAAACCAAGTTACTGGGAATTTTGATTGTTTAAATTTTAAATGTATTTGCTAAAAATCTTCAGTATTCCGCTGAAAAATGGAGACTGGGCAAGTTTGAACCAAAATGTATGTTTTATCTGATGTTTTCTGTTGCTTTCCAGAAATGTATCGAAGTACAACTACTGTTTTTCGGACTTTCCGTTCCCAGACGAAACCCTCGACTTCCCACACAACACAGACATGGCACAGTACATTCAGGACTACTGCGAGAAATTTGATGTCTACCCATTTATTCGCTTTCATCGAAAAGTACTCACCGTTGACAGGATAGGTAACGCTACCACTGTTTATTCTGATCCTTCATAAACGACACTGCTGGATGACACTTCTTAAACGTCACTTACAGCTAAAGGAAAACCATTTAACAGTTAAGGTAGTATTTTCACATGGCTGGATCTACAATAATTACATAATTTTTTCAGTAGATGGCTGGGGTTCATCGTTTCAAAAATCCTTTATTTACCCCCATGGTAGGTTGTGATACAATGAACCGAAGTGATCCTAATACAAACTGTTAATGTACTGTCTGTGTGACTTTCCTAGGCGAGGAATGGAAGGTGACTGCCCAGGAGGTGAGTGAGGATGGGAAAACAGTGAAAACAATCAACAAACCAGAAGTGTTCATATCAAAGTTCCTCACCATAGCAACAGGCCACCATGCTAAACCAACCACACCCAAGTTTCCAGGCCAGGACTCTTTTAAAGGTCATTGTCATACAGAAAACATAACAAGGAGAGGACTAATATAGGCATAGCCTGTTGTCCAATCCTTTTGATTTCTAAATAAGATTCACTGAAATGAAATGAAACAACACTTATATTTTTTAGTTACTTTTAAAATTACATATTCCTTCATACAGAAAAAAATTGTGCATATAAATAAATGCCTGTTGTCCAGAAGTTCCGTTCACAAATGTTTCTGTATCGTTTGATTAATAGTTATATTCCTCCAGTTTAATTGGCCAGTCTCACTTATGTCTATTAGGTACCAAGGTACTTCTATGTATAATTCTATACTACCAGTATAGTTGTCCAGTCTAACTAATATCTATTAGGTACCAAGGTACTTCTATGTATAATACTACACTACCAGTATAATTGTCCAGTCTCACTTATGTCTATTAGCGGACCAAGGTACTTCTATGTATAATTCTATACTACCAGTATAATTGTCCAGTCTAACTAATGTCTATTAGGTACCAAGGTACTTCTATGTATAATACTACATTACCAGTATAATTGTCCAGTCTAACTAATGTCTATTAGGTACCAAGGTACTTCTATGTATAATACTTCACTACCGGTATAATTGTCTAGTCTAACTTATGTCTATTAGGTACCAAGGTACTTCTATATATGATACTACACTACCAGTATAATTGTCCAGTCTAACTAATGTCTATTAGGTACCAAGGTACTTCTATGTATAATTCTACACTACCGGTATAATTGTCCAGTCTAACTAATGTCTATTAGGTACCAAGATACTTCTATGTATAATTCTATACTACCAGTATAATTGTCTGTTCTAACTAATGTCTATTAGGTACAAAGGTAATTCTATGTATAATACTACACTAACAGTATAGTTGTCCAGTCTCACTCATGTCTATTAGCGGACCAATTAAAGGTACTTCTATGTATAATTCTATACCACCAGTATAATTGTCCGTTCTAACTAATGTCTATTAGGTATCAAGGTACTTCTATGTATAATAATACACTACCAGTATAATTGTCTAGTCTAACTTATGTCTATTAGGTACCAAGGTCCTTCTATGTATAATTCTATACCACCAGTATAATTGTCCGTTCTAACTAATGTCTATTAGGTGCCAAGGTACTTCTATGTATAAAACTACACCACCAGTATAATTGTCCAGTCTAACTACTGTCTATTAGATACCAAGGTACTGCTATGTATAATACTACACTACCAGTATAGTTGTCCAATCTCACTTATGTCTATTAGCGGACCAATTAAAGGTACTTCTATGTATAATTGTATACTACTAGTATAGTTGTCCAGTCTCACTCATGTCTATTAGCGGACCAATTAAAGGTACTTCTATGTATAATTGTATACTACTAGTATAGTTGTCCAGTCTCACTTATGTGTATTAGGTACCAAGGTACTTCTGTGTATAATACTACACTACCAGTATAATTGTCCGTTCTAACTAATGTCTATTAGGTACAAAGGTAATTCTATGTATAATACTACACTACCATTATAATTGTCCAGTCTAACTACTGTCTATTAGATACCAAGGTACTGCTATGTATAATACTACACTACCATTATAATTGTCCAGTCTAACTAATGACTATTAGGTACCACGGTACTTCTATGTATAATAATACACTACCAGTATAATTGTCTAGTCTAACTTATGTCTATTAGGTACCACTGTACTTCTATGTATAATTCTATAATACCAGTATAGTTGTCCAGTCTAACTTATGTCTATTAGGTACCAAGGTGCTTCTATGTATAATTCTATACCACCAGTATAATTGTCCGTTCTAACTAATGTCTATTAGGTGCCAAGGTACTTCTATGTATAATACTGCACTACCAGTATAATTGTCCAGTATAACTAATGTCTATTAGATACCAAGGTACTTCTATGTATAAAACTACACCACCAGTATAATTGTCCAGTCTCACTTATGTCTATTAGCGGACCAATTAAAGGTACTTCTATGTATAATTCTAAACTAGTCTGTTCAAATTTCAGGAGAGATAATTCATTCTGTGGATTTCAATGATGCTCTGTCCAATGGCATGGTAGGAAAGCGTGTGTTAGTGGTTGGCATCGGTAACAGTGCTGTGGATGCAGCCGTAAACTGCGCGTCTGTTGGCAGGTGTGTCTCGGATTATAAATGATAAAGTGTGATTTTCCAAATCTTTTGGTTAAGCTGGATAAGTTAGATAAAGCCTGATACCGACACATTGTATGTCCAGCTAATTCAGTGAGTCAGTGCCTCATGATAACTTATATCTATATTTTCTCAAACGTTATGGCCTATTTTAAATTTTGAATATGCAAACAACACAGGACCCATGCTCTTCCTATTCCCACAACCTATTAGAAAAAGCTGTATTTTCATAAACAATCATGATTTCTGCAAAGTCTAGAAAAAAAAATATATGTTAAGTTAAAAAACATATTTAAGTAAAGAATCAGAGGTACCTTAGTGCAATATTAAACAAATTTTGTCCTACAATAACTAAATGAAATTTCTTAATATTTTGTACATGTGAATAGAGACCACTATATGTAATATTTACATATCTTTCTGAGGTGATATTTGAGAAACCATTTTTTTTTTATATATTACTGTGTATGTAAGATGACGAGGAGATTTGATTTGCTGCTGTTTTACAGGTGTAAAGCTGTATATATCAGCTCCAGGTCCGGAGCTTGGATCGTTCCCAACTACGTGTTAGGCTATCCAGCAGATCTGTACGCGTGTAGAGTCTTTCTCAGGTTGCCGTGGAAACTTGCCACATATATCTTGGAGACTATAATCAAAATGATTTCAGGAAATCCAAAAAGGTTATTTAATTATATTGTTTTTCTGTTAACAATTTAAATTGCATGCAGTAATAATACATGATTCATTGAATCTACTCTAAACTATATCCAGAACAGATTTAAACTATTGGTGGATAATTTTGATTGGTCTTTTTCTATTTTACTATTTTCACTTTATTACTGTCGAAACAGTAGACATCAGTTTTTGTATCATTATACAATAACATCAGCATCACACACCAAGCATTGTGTTTATTGTCAATGTGATCATAGATTCTGCTTTGAGTTATTGAAGTTCTGTCAGGCATATATGTTTCATTCTCAGATATATTCAATCTCTCTGGCAATGTTCTGATGGCTGGCTGGTTTATTTAACAGGTGGAACTTAAATCCAAAGATGCATGCTCTTCAGACACAGCCAACTGTCAGCCCTACACTCATACATCACATACAGCGCCGTGAGGTCAAAGTTGTTCCTAATATACAGGTGAGAAATTATTACTACATCACATACAGTTGAGTGAGGTTAGAGTAATTTCTAACATACATCCCTATCAAAGCATTGTGAGAGGTTATACTCAAAGTTGTCTCTACTATAACACGTGAGATATTATTCCACTTCACAGAGATTTTAAGTGAGATTAAGGTCATTTCTAATAGATATTCCTGTTATATGTTACATTATTAGAGGTAACCTATACAGTGATGTCAGGTTAAGGTCATTTCTAATAGATATTCCTGTTATATGTTACATTATGAGAGGTTACCTATACAGTGATATTCCTGTTATATGTTACATTATTAGAGGTAACCTATACAGTGATGTTCCTGTTATATGTTACATTATTAGAGGTTACCTATACAGTGATATTCCTGTTAAATGTTACATTATTAGAGGTTACCTATACAGTGATATTCCTGTTTTATGTTACATTATTAGAGGTTACCTATACAGTGATGTTCCTGTTATATGTTACATTGTTAGAGGTTACCTATACAGTGATGTCAGGTTAAGGTCATTTCTAATGGGTACATTCTACTCATATCATAAAGCAACAGGCTCTAGGAGGTCTTTTCTCAATAGATTAACATATGAGTTTATGTTTAAAATAAATGTCAACTGGTATATATATGAGTGGTTTCCCTATATGCCTACATCAATCCTTATATTTCAGCTTTACAATTAATTTTTAACGAAGAAATAGCCCGAACACTAGCGAGAAAGCATACAGTTGTCTTTCCTTTCTAGGGTTTAATGGAAGAATGTGGAGTCGCAATCATAATAATGAGCATTTAATCCTTGAAATGATCTGATACAACCATTCTGGTTATAATGAATAGGTCATTTTTTAACAAAATTCGTTACTTGTTAAATGTATTTAAACTCGTTAAACTAATTAAGTTTTTTCTATGAATGTCTCATAATTTCTTATATCATCATATTTACAATGATTTAAAAAACAAATAAAGTCTAAGATAGGTATGAGAATTGTATCATTATGTAACCCTGGTAAATACTAGCTGCAATATACCGCTCGGCTAGAGAGATCTTCTCTTTAGCTCGATCGGTTGAGCGTTAGACTAGTAAGCCAGAGGTCCCGGGTTCGATCCTCAGCAGAGGCAGTGAAATATTTGTTTAAATTTCACGTGCTCTGTTACAATTATTTGTTTTTTGTAGAGGATAGAGAATAAAGAGGTTTTCTTTATGAATGGGAAGCATGCTGAGTTTGACCACATCATTTATTGTACTGGGTACAAGGTTGACCTTCCCTTCCTTAGTGATGACCTTCAGAACTTGGTGCTAGACAAGGACACTAATACTGTCAAGGTAAGGAAGTCCTCGGTATACTAACTGGTGTCTTATATAGCCTGTGTGGTGAGAGAGGAGATCCCACTAACAATATAGCCTACATACACTAACCTTATAGTTTACCTGTGTTTCAACAATATTTGATATCTGAATCCAGATTTTGAGCTCATAACCAAAACTGCACCATTTAACCATGTTGATACACATCCTTACTTGTAAATAATTTAATTTTGCCTATCTCCCCCATAATATTATTTTTTTTGGTATATATCGGATATACCTAAATAGAAAAACAACTGATGACGGAACTTTTTTTACACTTCATAATGCAAAATTACAACGCAGCTTTTTATTAGCACAATTGTTTAGTTTACGTAAAAATTAAATAAATCTTTAACTGTGCATTTACAACGTGTTTGTCTACTATTTTTAAATTAAATTATAAAGATTTTGTTTTGGTATATACGGTATATACCGAAAATAAATTGTGCACTTTTTTGCATAAACCGCTTCGTGGATTCATGAAAAGTGCACATTTTTTTTTTGGTATATACCGAATATACCAAAACAAAATCTTGGTCATTCCTTAATTAGTACACCATAATAATTTAATTTTTAAATTCCCCATAGCTATATTAAATGATGCTAATTTTTCTGCATAATATTTAATCAATTAAGGTATTTTCAAGGTAAAAATGCATATGGATTAATAACGTTCCATTGGATGAACGTGTGATATGCAATGTACACTGTAACTCATTTACAGCTCTACAAGAACGTGTTCAACCCAGATATTGGTTCGGGTCTTGCCTTCGTTGGATTTGTCCAGCCAGCATCAGGAGGTGTGCTGTCTATGTCGGAGATACAGGCTCGCTGGTTTGCCGAGTTGTGTAAAGGAACAGTCAAACTACCATCCAAATCTGACATGGTCAGCAACATGAAAACAGAAATGGTAGGTGATGATAAAATGTCTGCAGCTGTTGATCCAGGTCACCGATGTTTTGTGTCTGTTTTTTTTTCACCTTATCTCTTAGAATGTTTATAGGTAAGTAATCTTGACAGTAGGAATACTTCCAACTTTTATAAAAATTGACAGCAAATTAAATGTAGTAAAAAGTGACTGTGAATGTTGTGAAATGTGACCACAGAAAAATGTCAGTGTAGTAAAATGAGGTGATTCTGTTATAAAAAGGGTTATTGTTGTAAAAGATTGTTCTGTGACAAAAGGGATAGATGAATACATGGGTGTCCATGACCCAGGTTGTAGAACTTAACTTTGGGGGACAAACTCTGATACAGTACATAGTGAGTACTAACTTCTGTTAAACACACGACAATCAATGTCTCTTTTGTTTGTAAGTAAGAACTTCTGGCTTACTAATGCTGTAAAACATCGGTGTGTTGACAGGAGGCTGTGTCTAGTCGTTACCATCAGTCACCCAGACACACACTACAGAGGGACCCACTCATCTACAACGACGAAATCGCGGGATTTATTGGTGCTAAACCAAGTTTTCTCAAAAATCCAAGTCTGATCTGGAGGTAAGAAACTTTATTTGTCTTGATCTTAAATAGAATGTGCCTACAGTAGCTGTAGTCATTTTAACTAGAATATATAATATGAGTCGTTAATGATGAATAGGTTATTATAGTTTGCTCAATAGCATGTGCATTTGTTGAAGCTGTTTTTTCATTGAATTTAATCTAGAAAAAGTGATGTTGATATCTTTGCCATAAAAAGTTGTCTCCCTTAACTTACTTGAATTATTAAACATAATAATGTCTGGTCCCAAATAGGTAAAGCTCTACATATTATATTTATTAAATGTATTCTGATGTAAAACATAAAAGAGCTTCAGTTAACAAAATTATATTTAAAGGATTGAAATGCATAATTATTGACATGATGGTGTGAAACCCAGCTGCATATAAAAACATCATATTCCCGATGCACTGTAGCACATCTTTGAGGAATGAATCAAACTTTATGTATATTTTGTATATAGGCAAAAAATGAAGATCCAGTTATGAATTACATAAGTTCTTATATCTATTCTCGTGATTTAAACACAATAAGTAGCCTTCAAGCTTTAGAACTATAAGTACAAATGTATACTGACTATGCTTTTCCTTGTCAGCTTACTGTGGGGCAGCGGTGGATCATACCAGTGGAGACTCCAGGGTCCCAACTCCTGGAGTGGAGCGGCTAAAGCTGTCAGGAAGGTCCCCATCACTGACCTTATGCATATATTTGGTGTGGCCTTATTAGGGATTATAGCATTCATTGTGTACAAATTATTTTTCTGTTCAGGATGTTGTTCCCATTGAATTTGTTTAAATACTGCACTTACAAGCAGAAGTACAAGTAGACATGTAGCAGGTATATATGCTTTCAACATCCAGGTTACATTTTGTTGCCATACAAGTTACAACTTTTAGATTAATTCAAGTATCCCCTTCTGTGTATCACTACAGTATGGTATCACTACAGTATGGTATCACTACAGTATGGATCACCTTCTGTGTATCACTACAGTATGGTATCACTACAGTATGGTATCACTACAGTATGGATCCCCTTCTGTGTATCACTACAGTATGGTATCACTACAGTATGGTATCACTACAGTATGGATCCCCTTCTGTGTATCACTACAGTATGGTATCACTACAGTATGGTATCACTACAGTATGGATCCCCTTCTGTGTATCACTACAGTATGGTATCACTACAGTATGGTATCACTACAATATGGATCCCCTTCTGTGTATCACTACAGTATGGTATCACTACAGTATGGTATCACTACAATATGGATCCCCTTCTGTGTATCACTACAGTATGGTATCACTACAGTATGGATCACCTTCTGTGTATCACTACAGTATGGTATCACTACAGTATGGATCACCTTCTGTGTATCACTACAGTATGGTATCACTACAATATGGATCACCTTCTGTGTATCACTACAGTATGGTATCACTACAATATGGATCCCCTTCTGTGTATCACTACAGTATTGTATCACTACAGTATGGATCACCTTCTGTGTATCACTACAGTATGGTATCACTACAGTATGGATCACCTTCTGTGTATCACTACAGTATGGTATCACTACAGTATGGATCACCTTCTGTGTATCACTACAGTATGGTATCACTACAATATGGATCACCTTCTGTGTATCACTACAGTATGGTATGGGTCAAAGAAGTAATATAGACGGTAAAATCCCATATAACACTGGATCCTAATGGAGGTATGTCCGTAGGATACGAATTACTTAAAATAGTATATGGGGACTACAGTATGATATATATACAAGACATCAAGACCTACAGACTTTTAAAGCAGGTTGAACTGTCTCAAAATTGTCTCAAAGCAAAATTGAAAATTAGTTTTATAATTGTTGAAACAGAATAAAAAGCAAGCCAAGATGTACTGTAACTGAAACATATGTTTGCCTATCAAGACAAATCCACTACGGGTGTAGGTGGAGTAAATTAACTAAGTTTGTATGCCACTATGCAATTCTCAGTAACAATAGTTCTCTTACACTTTAGATAATGCTGCCTTGTGGAGATATTGATTTGTTCAAATATGATAATGTTTAGGTTTTTTCCATTGAAATTTGTTTTACAAGTCTTAGAATTTATACATGTACAAAAAGTGTATACTTTATATATAAGCTCTCTAAGGTACCGGTTGTCGGTCAAACTGAAACTGAGTGAGAAATTTGTTTAAGGTTTTGTTTTAATTCAGCATTCCATGACTTCAGTTGGATTGTATGCCTTTATTTAATAATGTCCGGTGTGCTATATGGACTTTAGACGAGATCCTTAGACTCCAGACTACACAAGATGCACACAGGGGGAGATAATCCAGGTAGCATAGAACCAATTATTAACGCCTGATGAGACAACTGCTGTGATATCCTCATACATATACATGAATGCATTGATTATCTAAAGTGTGTATGTATTGTAAAGCACCTTAGCGTGGCATGGCTTACTAAAGCTAGATAGGGTGCTGTATCAACTGTTCAACAATAACATACTCATATGTATGTTTGTTAACATGATATGATTCATTTAATTGTTTCATTTTCTATTTGATTGTTTCATTTTCTATTTAATTGTTTCATTTTCTAGTCAGTGTGTAGCAGAGGCTCCTAGAAAAGTTTGTTCCTAACTTCATATTTATGTATTTTAACTTCATATTTATGTATTTTATATATAAAAATAAACATTATCTTACAATAATTATGTAACAAGTTTTTACAACTTATACTAATCATTCTTGTTGGTCCGGATGTTAGCACGCGAGGGTTCTTACTGTGGGAGGAAACCAGAGTACCCAAACCCATGTGGTTGGACAGGTGACCCAATACCTTTTCACGTCCGATCAGGGAATCAAACCCCCTGCCTACTTGGTGAAATATTATATTTTTAAATTGAAAACAAAACACATGTATGCTTGTCATAACATCACTTTATTTTGATATACACACAAATACTCCTATTTAAAGAAAAGGCCATTCTGTGAAGTTCATGTGACTTATATCGATTCCTATCATGCTGAATGTACTCATGGCTATGAAATATGTGTATGTGTAAGCTAACTGTGTCGATGTTTTTTTTGGGACAAACTGAATTTGAAAATTTCAATATTGTATGATCTTAAATTTGATGAATTTAAGTAGAACTGAAGCGGGAGAAATACGTGTTGAATCATGTAACTGTGATTTTACAAATATTGTTTAATTAATGAAATATTGTTTATGTATATAATTTATATTTATATGAACATAGGTTTCATGTTGTTTGTTTTTATCAATGTGATAGCTAACACAGGTTTATTATCTAATTTATGTATATTTTTGATGTGATAATTTACAAATACATGTTTATGTTCAAGTAAAACCTTAACCTACAATACAACATACAGAAATGAACACTAAACTTAACTGTTACTCACGTTCAAAACAATAGGTTCTGGGATTCCAAAAGACATGCAAATATTTGCTATCATATTTTGTTTTTTGCAAATTCAAGTTTTCAAAAACTTATTTTTCTAGTGTTTATACAAACAGTCAGCTGACTTAGGTGCTTGTTTTAATGGTTATCAGATTGTATGCCGTTTAGCGCTGACTTTAGATGTGAATACACTGCTGAAAAATATCTATATAGTGCTGAATGAGTAGAGTGGTATATGATGGTGCTACTAATACGTTTAATACATTCTGTCTGTATACGTATCGATATATGATTGCTGTTTTCAGCTGTGTTTTAACAATTTTATTTGAAAGAAAATTTGGTTGAAAATACTGGGGTAAATCTAAGTCATGCAGGAATGTACATTAAACTATAAATCTGTTATTGTACCCTTAATATTGATATATGACTTCAGGTTTTTTTCAATAAAAACAAAAAAGAAAATAATAAAACAATTCTGTAAAAATTGATTGATCATATGTAAAAAAGTCTTTATAGCTGTGAAATTAAAAGTTCTGTGATCCCCACGTTGCAGACACAGTAATTACCAATTTTTCAGAGCAAACAACCATTTTTCTCAAGACGAACACTAGAGGAAGAAAACAACAATCACGAAATAACGTCATGCAAGAAAATATCTAGTAGATACGTATACTGACATAATGTTTTCTATGTCCTGCTGAAGAGATTCTTGCTAGCTAATAGGCTAATGCATGTTGTCAGGCCTGCTGATTGGTTCAAATCATTTACAGAAATGATACCTGTTAAGTTAGACATTTATCTCTTCTTGAGATTTAATGAAAGGGTGTGATTTTTTCTTTTCAATTCGTAATGTGTGAAGAAGTCAAAAGGATATTTTATTATTACATGGTAGAACTATATAATTTTGACTGGGATTGTCAACAGATATGACAATACATAACAACAAAACCAGCTGTAAACTGGAGCTGGAGCTGGTATAAACTGGAGCTAGAGCTGGTATAAACTGGAGCTAGAGCTGGTATAAACTGAAGCTAGAGCTGGTATAAACTGGAGCGAGCTGCTATAAACTGGAGCTAGAGCTGGTATAAACTGGAGCTAGAGCTGGTATAAACTGAAGCTAGGGCTGGTATAAACTGGAGCGAGCTGCTATAAACTGGAGCTAGAGCTGGTATAAACTGGAGCTAGAGCTGATATAAACTGGAGCGAGCTGCTATAAACTGGAGCTAGAGCTGGTATAAACTGGAGCTAGGGCTGGTATAAACTGAAGCTAGAGCTGATATAAACTGGAGCTAGAGCTGGTATAAACTGGAGCGAGCTGCTATAAACTGGAGCTAGGGCTGGTATAAACTGGAGCTAGAGCTGGTATAAACTGGAGCTAGAGCTGGTATAAACTGGAGCTAGAGCTGGTATAAACTGGAGCTAGAGCTGGTATAAACTGGAGCTAGAGCTGGTATAAACTGGAGCTAGAGCTGGTATAAACTGGAGCTAGAGCTGGTATAAACTGGAGCTAGAGCTGGTATAAACTGGAGCTAGAGCTGGTATAAACTGGAGCTAGAACTGGTATACATTGTTTATTAATCCTAGAAAGATAATGATTACTTTTCTTATCACTGATAATGATTCAATGGCCTTTGCCAATTCCTTGCCTCATACAATGATTATCTGCCCTTTGTTTATGGTTATCTGCCCTTTGTTAATTATCATCTGCCCTTTGTTAATGGTTATCTGCCCTTTGTTTATGATTATGTGGTGTTTTATAAAATCATTACCTGCCATCAACAATGATTACCTCATATTTGAGAATGATTACCTCCTCTTTTTAAATTATTTTCTTGCCTTACCCTTTTTTACCTCGGATTTGAAAACAAATCTGCTTAGTGGTGAATTTGTTCTGAAACTAGGTTATTATTTAAGTTCCTTCCGCTTTTCGTCCTCTTGATCCTTAATATGTGTTTAATGAGTAGATGACATTGAATGATGGGTACAAAATTATATGAAACAAAACGTAAAAAACGTTAAAAACATTTTGTTTTACATGACTTTATCAACGTTACGTTTCTCTGGCAGTCAGGTATATACCATTGTATTAGGCATGTATTTATTATTGCACAGTTCCGTTAAATTGTTTTTTGATTCCATGGCATATTTGTTTTTATATTATAAACAGTGATTTCTTCTGTGTGATATGTGTCAGTCTATATCAGATTCTGTGATAGATAAGGTATGTATATGTTATGAGAAAATCTGTAAGTGTTCGATTTATTAAAATTATTTCTTTTTGGATTCTATGTTAATTCACGTTTATAACTAGTTTTCCTGACTGCGTTTTTTGCCCTGTTTAGATAAGTTTGCTCAGACAAGTATTCAGTGCTTCCATTAGTAATATTGATACAATTAAATGTCCATCTTCGTTGAGATATTTCTTTTCATATCTTTGTAACTGTTACTTTTGACGTCATTCTCATAAACACAATGTTAAATTTTGCCGTAAAAACGTTTTTGGCCTATTGACTTGGGTACTTTTCTAAAAAGCAGATACGTTTATATTATTACGATCAGAAGTGCTGGAAAAAAATCTAGTTGCCGAATTTCATAGGGTCAGACAAGTCAGGATAACTGATTAAAACAACAACTTAAATTAACATAGAACACAGTGGTAAACAAATGTAACATGAAAGGCTTGTAGCAAATCACTGCATGCACGTCTAATCATGTATTTGCTGGGTAAAATCACATTAAAACCGAATGTTATATTCTTACTCTAGACATGGAGTACAACCATTGGTACTAGTCCAGTGGCATAGCTTTCTTATTTGATGAAAATTAACTGCAATAAAACCTCTGAATCTTTTAACTATTTTATTTGCTTTATGAGCGCCCTTACATACCAG